GGGGGGGACACTGAGTTTGCTATGGAAACATCATTGTAAATGAACAAATTCAACAGGTAAATTTACATCATTTTACAGACCCGATGTACCTTCTCTAACCTGAATGGCATTAAACTTTCGTTTAGGATCATAGAAGAGATGTTTCATAAATATCTAAGCTATATCTCCARTGGCGCTTCCATTGCGACCTCAACGTTTTCTCAGCTGACCTGTGACCCGGAAGAGTTAGGCTCCCCTACTCAGAACTACAAAATCGTTTATTATCTGAGTACTTGGGTACTCACCTGCACACTTAAGACAGCAACCGAAATATGAAACAAATTAAAAAAAAGCTTTGATTAACCTCTGGTGATATTGCTCATGGTTGTATTTTTAATACATCCGTATCCATTGTATTCCTGTTTTTGTTTCTTTATATTGTTTGTAAAGCTTAAAAGGTTACTTAAGGTTTAATTCTGGGTTATCTACAAMAGGTAAGTTATTGCTGTTCATAACCTTTCCATAGAACCACCTTTCAAAATATCTGAACTTTCACCTGAACCATCAGTTTTGATTGATTCTCGCTGAGTAATAGCAAGTAAAAATCAATATTTATGGTAGCGATGCAGCAATTAACGTGTTCTTTGATAACACAAGTGTCCTTGTGTTTGTTCTCAGCCGTGGCTTGTGGTGATCCTCCATCCTTCCCCAACGCTCGCCTGCAGGAGAGCTCAGGCTTCGAGATGGGCGACGAGCTGCTCTACACGTGTCTGCCGGGTTACGTGATGCCAACTGGACACGCTGCCTTCAGCCTGATGTGCGACAGCTGCGGGGAGTGGTACGGCACGGTGCAGCTTTGTGTCAAAGGTAACTTGACATGTTAATGTGCTGAGAAGGAACAAAAAAAAAAACCAGACGTTAACTTGTGATTTCAGATGAAGATGGCGCCTCAGTGTGACATGCCATAACGTGTCCGTGTTGACTGAGGCAGAAGACCAGGCCTGTGAGGTTTACTCAAAGGCCTCGTAGTCATATTTCAGCTCTAAAGTTGTGGTTTTGAAACCGTTTCAAAGCAAATATATRGCTTCATAAAATGATTTAGACAAGATAAAATTCAAAAATAAATCCACATCATCTAAAATAAATTATTACTTTGGACTTTCTTTTAGATTTTTAAACATTTTTATGTGATATTGACACACACTTCCATGCATTCAAGCATAGGATAATTCACAAACAATTAAATGCTTCATTAATTTAAGATATTTTTAGTTATCTCTCTGCTGAAGTTCACAAAAAACCATTTAAAATTAAGATGCTCTTTCTTCTAAAGAAAAGACGTAAATCAATTATATTTTCAGACACATACAAATTGTTACAAGTACAAACATTTTTTATACACTGTATTGATCCCCTGGTGGGGAAATTAAGTCTCTACATTTTACCCAAGTGGGCTGCCAATTACAGCGCCCGCGGAGCAGCTGAGGGGTTAAGGTCCTTGCTCAAGGGCCCAAGTGGGGTTGGTTTGTTTGGGGAGTCGAACCGGCGTCCTTCCGATCACAGACTCGGCTTCTCCTTATTCTTCTCTTCGAACTAATTTAAAGTGCCTGGGACATGTCTATCCTTGAAATACAAAAGGTCAAAGAAAATATCTTCATATTTAGGAAAATTGGCATAAATCACGTGATTTTACCCATTTTGTCACATAACTGGCATATTTTCCTTTGAATTTAGCTTAGCTAAAGTTAAACAGGAAGTGACATCAAAGGGGAACTCAAACTCCCTTGTCTTTGTTTATTAAAACAATATTATTTGAACTTTGACTTTTCTTCATCTCTCTTATACGGACTAAAATTATCTAAAAAAAAACATCAGAAAATTCTCTGCTGTCTGTTAGCCATTGTAGCAACGCTCTGTTTACATTCAGACATTCCCCTTTGTCATCACATCCTGTTACTTCACATGCATATATCTCAACAACTGTTCATCTCAGTGGTGTGAAATTGCTTTTGCAACATGTTATCTATTTTATATTTCCAAAAGTGCAATCACATTTATCACAAAAATTTAATGCCACAGGCACTTTAAAGGACCTATACTGTGCTCTTTCACAAGATTAAAAGGTAAATTTACCTAAGTGTACCATGTTTTACATATGCTGCAAAATCTTTTAATTCTTCCTTGAAAGTTAACATTTAATTTCAGTGTTTGATTAATGTTATCTTTCTATGTATCTTCAGATAAAACTGAAAGCCACGTAGACTACGAGGACAAGTTTGAAGATTCCTATGAAGCAGCAGATCATGACCGAGGCAGTCCAGAGGAGCAGCATGACAAGACGTCTGAGGAAGTATTTGGATCCCAAGATAGGAAGACAAGTTTGCAGCAGCAAACAACAAGAATTAGGGTCAACGCAGGGGCGGAGCAACAAGACCAGCATGAAGAGCGGGACGTGAGAGAAGCAGTGATTAATAACAGAAGAGCCTTTGGAGGAGCTGTTGATGAAGCAGCTACACGGGAGGACCTGGTCCATCCAAGCCCGGAGCAGGAGAGGAGCGAGGACGTCGGGACAAATGCAGCTGAAGCTACAGAAGAACCCGTCTCTCTTCTGTCTCAGAAACACCTGTTCTGGTTCCCCTCTGAGGCCTTCCAGAACGAGAAGGCTCCCCTCTCCCCTGACTCCATCACACAGACAAAACAGAGAGCTTCTGGTGCGCAGTCACAGGAGAGTAAAGAAAAAGAGAGCCAGGAGAGGCATGACATCTCACAGCCCACTGATGATGATGATCACGATGATGATCACGATGATGAGCAAGATCGATACGATGAACCGGACAATGATGAGGAAGGTGATCATGATGACAGCCACCATGATGACCACGACCATGACAATCCTGATGATCATGACGACAACCACGATGATCATGAGCATGACCAAGATGGCAATGACCATGACGATCATGACCACGATGATCATGACGACCATGAAGATGACCTTACTGATAATCCAGATGACCCAGACAGCCACCAAGAAGAAGATGATGATCATGTGACGCATCGAGGTGAACATGAGAATACACGGGACCGCCACCAAGACCATGATGATCACGATGACCACTATGGCACAGGCACACATGAAAAGGACCGCGATCATGTTGGCTACGGCACTCAGGAGTACGATGATCAAGACGATCCATACGATGAACACCACAGCCGGGAGGATCACGATGATACAACAGAAGATCACGATGATAATGATGATGAACATCCAGATGGCTCTGAGGAACATCCAGATCACAATGACCACGACGATGATGACCACTTACCGGATCATGATATCCACGATGATCATGAAGACAAGTATGAGAAGAGTTATGATGACCATGACAGCCATGAAGATGATGACGGTCACTCGCGAGTAATCTTTTCAGTAGCCACAGAAGAGCGCCCAACTATCACCCAAAGGGGAGCGGGAAGTAAGATCAAAGACGAGACCTGGCTGGATGGGTACCCAATTCAAGGAACTGAAAATGGTGATTCCACAAAAAGACCAATAAGACCAGTGGATGGTGAGCAAGCTGTCAAAACAACAGACAGACCAAATGACGTGGAAGCGCGTAAACGGATTCCCCACACCAACTCACCAAATAAACGCACGTCTCCCACTACAGCACCTGAAAGGGTGGTGGAGAAAGTAAGGCCTGGCTACAGGACCCCTGGTACCTCCTCTGATCATTTACAGCCTTCAGACTCCCCATCCTACTCGGACACCCTGGACTACGACACGCAACAGGCGGCTCCCACCCAGTCCTGGCTGGACGAACTCACCGAGCACCCCTTCCTCGATCACGGCCTAGCTCCTCCGGTGCACGACGGCGACATCTTCCCTGGCTTGATTGGGGAACACGCTGTGCACAACCTTCCCGGTGAGATGGGGGAGGCGGAAGGAGAGATGGGGGAGGCGATCTGCACGGGCGATGACTGCCCTCCCCTACCTCCCAGTTCATCCAGTCGAGGTCCCACAGTGGCAGCCATAGCCGTGCTGGTGTGCCTGGTCGCCATGGCCGTCATCTTTGGGGTGTGGTGTTACAAACGGCAACAGCAGAAGAGCTCGATATACGAGATGAACGGGAAAGGCCAAAGTCAAAGCAGACAGGGCCAACAGATGGAGATGCAGCAAAAAGTGTAGACGCTTGTGACGAGGAGAGTGCTGAAAGGACGCAGAGACTTTTAGGACAAATTCTGAAGAAACGTACATCTAAACACCACCGATGTAGAAGTTTTTGAATATGTAGGAACCTAAAACTTACGACCGCTCAGCTATAATGAGCAAACCGTGGTAGCGTTAACAAAAACATTGTGAAGACTTTTTGCTGGAACTTGAGTGAAAGAAGATCATAACAAATCCCTTAGAAATTCATCCGTTTGTTCGACTTATTGGTTAGTTTTAAAGGTTTCTAGTTGGACTCATAAATGAGCTAATATATTTTGACAAACTTCTGAATAAATGAACTGAGAATTCAACTCTGAAGGTTCTCTGACATTGTGGTAAAGAATCTTAGCGTAATCTTTTTATGTTGTTTGTGTGATTGATTTTTTTTTGTACCACATTCATGCTGAAGTTCAGAGTGATCAGCTGACTAAAAGGAAAGTAGTCCATGTAGATGAGAATGTATGACCATTTTCCCCCTCCGTTCTGTTGATTTTGGCATTTGTTTGATGAGACATAGAAGAGTCCAGACCCACTCAAACGTATGGGATAAAGATAATGTACCGGTGTGACTGAGGAACCAGAGATTAAAATCATTGTGGTGCTAACACAACAAAGGATCATGACATCAAACGGTTTAGCTTTATTCTAAAATAAGATTTGTGATTTACTTACGTAATAGTTTAAACACAATATTTTCAAATATTACTGGATTAAAAAAAATAAATCAGGGTTAGACCACAAGCCCTTATGGTTTTTATGTGCAAATGATAAATGTTTAAAGTTTCATTATGTGATTTTCACTTTTCATATAGCTGCAAACAATTACTTCCCATATAAAATTGTAATATATTGAAATTTCCAGGGCAAACAGTCTTATATTGTTTCCTGCTCTTGCTGTAAAGTTCTATGACGATCTAGATGCAAAACCTTTTGTGGCAAATTTTATGTGGCAATCTGGCAATAACCTGCTGTTATACCCAACCAAATGCCAATAGATCACTTAAATGTATATATTTATTTGCACCTATATATGCAGAATTTATTAGCTCTGAGTAACAGGAACAAAATACTCGAAAAATGTTTTGCAATGAGGGTGCTGCAGCTGGGGCCGCAAGACTGAGCACAGCACTCAACTTTTCGAAAAAAAAAACTAGTGTTTTGCAGCTGTAAGATTGTTTTTAATCCCACGTGTGCACACATTTATTCTTTATGTATTTGCCTGTGTTTGTGTGATTCTGTTCATTTGTCTGTGAGCAAAATATCCCATGAACCGCTGGACAGGTTTTTATTGAAACTCTCAGAAGGGAATCAGTGGATGGACAACCCAGGTGTGTTTATTTCAGGGTGCCAACATCTCTGTTGAATACTTTTGWGCAGAAACTTTGGATCTTCAAAACCACAACCAAAACATAAAAAAAGACGTTAATTTAATAGACGATCACGAGTTCACAAACTTTTGCCACTTTTAATTAACCATCCATGAAACCACAGACAGATGTGAAAGGTGTCCAGTGGAGTTAATTTATGTAAAAATGTAAAAAAGTACATTTTTTCCCAGCATCTATGATTTGTTTAATTCTAGTGATGAACAAAGAGAGCTCTTTAACGTAGTGCCGTTTTCAAGAAAACATTTTTTATTTTATTACAAACACAGTAAAATTTCCAATTTGACTAGAAATTGTATCCATTTATATTTGGCCTGTTTTTAAATAAATTTGTTAAAAAAAAAGAAAGAAATGAGAATAAAAGCAGGTAGGAGCTTTACGAAAATCAGTCATTGAAATAGTSATAGAAAACGGCAATCAGCGCACCTGGAAATAAAATTCTAGTATTWTGTTGCATTGTCAGCACATTCAGGTATTAGTTGAATTTAAAAAACTGCTCTCGTTCATAAAATGTGGGATTTTCTTTTAAATATCACATTGAACATGCTAAAGTGTTTGTCAGAACAAACTGTGTCATGAATGTGTTCAAGTCTCAATAAACAATAAAAAAAAAACAGTTTTGAATTTGTGCCTCCTTTTGTTACTGTCGTCAGACTCAAGTTATCTTTTTCGTCTCTTATTATCAAAAGGTTTTAAAAGCTGCAGATAGATGAAAGAAAGTAGAGAAAAAAACAAGAGTGAGAATGTTCTCCTGTGGGTTTCTAACACGACTGTGTGACAAACTGCACAGAGACTCAACGTTCAAACAATATTTTCCATGAATGTCTCCTCTCAGCTCCTCATCACCTCCACTTCAGGTTTTTTCCTTTATTAAGACTCCAATAAATAAATAAGTAAAACAAACAGTGAACTGAAACTGATAAGTTGCTTAATTAAAGTTTGAACACTAAATATAGTTGTCTTAAATTACAGTATATTTCTAATTATGAGGTTTAAATGTGTGAAAAACAGTAACATTTAATATTTTCACTCTTTTCTTCAGAGACAGTGATTAAAAGGATAATCTGGTCATTTTTAAATGATGTTTTGTGAAACAGGTAATAGCTTTTATCTTATGAGGCACAAAATCAGTTATATGCAAAAAATAGCAGAAATCTTTGTCCAGGTTAGTCTAGGTGTAACTAACTGTAACATTTTTCATACTTTTGTCATTTTCTGTGCAACAAATATCTGATAAGTACCAACTATTTGTTAGTAAGACAGAATATCACTTTTTCTTTTAAAAGTACACAGAATCTTATGTGATACAAGCAAAACTTTTAAAAACAAACTGTTTATTGTAAAAATGTGGCATTCACAATGATTCACAGTGGGAGAATGCATTCACAAACCAGTGAGTAAACAAACATCTGTCCTCATTATTATTATTATTATTATTATTATTATTATTATTATTATTATTATTATTATTACTACTGTTGTTGTTGTTGTTTCAAACCTCTGGGCTGTGCTGCTGGCAGTTCAAACCACTAAACTAGATCTTTGGTACAAAATGAAATTAAAAACAATTCATAATTAAAGAGCTGCAGGTAAAAAATGATATCATCCTTTAAAGTCTGTTAAAATCCTAATAAATAAAATGTTTTGGAGTGTTTTTGTACACTGTGTTTCAGTGTTTTCTTAGCTGTCCTCATCCAGGAACTCATCTATAAACTCCACCACCTCCCCCTGTGAAAAAACACAACACAAGAAAACAAATCAGGAAGGTCTGTTTCGTTTCAAAGTAGATTACCAGAAATCCCCTTGCTGACATTTTTATCAGTGATTTCTCATATCCCGCATTACTAAAGAGATTAAAAGCCTGAATTCCATTTAGCACAAACAACATGTAATCCTAGCTTATGTTGATTTGACCCGATGGYGCTGCATGAAAATAACCTGCAGTAAATACAGCGTCATGCTGCCATCACATGCCTTCTGGTGATACTACAGCCGTTATGCTGCAGGATGGGTCACGTGACTGGAACCAGTCTCTGGAAGTGGTTTTATTATTAGAATTAAGCTCATCTGTTTTTTTTATGAAAGCTTTATTTCATACAGACTTTTCATTTGATCATAAACATCTTGGCTTAAAGGAGATCTTGATCTTAAAATGTGTGTAAAACAGATAAGCCCACCTCATCATCGCTCACAAGGCGCTGCTTGGAGAACTCCAACATCTGTAACTGCATAGTGGTCTGATTGTAGTACCGCACTGCCTCCTGCAGCGCGCGCGCACACACACACACACACACACACACACACACACACACAGAAAACCTCGAGTTAAAATTAGATTTTATAAGAACAGATCTTTGGGGAAAAAAAACACTCCAGTGATGTAAAAAAAGCACATTTTCTATTTTGTCAGCAGGAAACTTGCTTCACTGGGGAAAAAAATGAAGCTTTTGTTTTTTTTCTTTACAAACCCTTAGTGTGATATAAAAACCAGTTTAACAACCCTCTGCCTAAAACRTAACATTACTGGTTAACTATGAACTCTAATATAATAAGAAAACAGATTTAAAATCATAAAAACATATTTCTGCCATCTTAACAAAAGTTTAATTGTTGCTGAACGGATTATTGTTTATCGACRTGAGCAACTACCACAACTAATTTAGATCTTTTTTTTGTTGTCGTTTACATTTGTGAAAGTTTATATACAATATTTAATATTTTTAAACCCTTTTTAAATGAAACACTTAAATGTGGTGCTGGGGTTGGGTCATAAAACRCCAAMTTTAAGTTAGCTTACAAATATTACAATACATACAAAAATAACTGCAAACATATTTTTACTATTCCTGTTATAGTGGTTACAAAATGGATATAAATCACTATCACTGTTACTAWAATTGGATTATTAGCAAGGTTTGAACACATTTAAAACTATATTTTAAAATATTCTTTGCCAGTTATTTGTGGGTCATAAGTTGAAAATTTTATAAAACTTTTCGTAYATAGTATTTTTTTAGTGTTTTATACACTTATGGGGCTCTAATAGTTTCTATACTGCCTAAACTTCAGTAAGTTTAGTTTGTATTTCAGTTATACTTGCAAATAAACATAYATTTATCTTTTCAAGAAGTGCAATAGACTGAAAGTGCACACAGATTAAACAATAACACGTCTATTTAATCAAAAATGAAACCGTTTTCTTCTAATCGACTGGGTTCAAAGAGTGATCTACAACAGGTAAGATGCTATTTGTTTATGGCCTTTTCACAGAACTCACTGATCTGGGCAGGAAGTCCTCGTCTGTCAAGCCCCATTGCTTTTTGTGATATTTATAATAGGCGACGTTGTTCTTCATGACTTCATCACTGGGGTCGAACAGCATGTAGCTTGCTGCACACGGCACTGCGTTYTTCAGATCGTTCACTACAAAAAAACAATAACCACTGAAAACAGAGATTTTCACTCATAACCCAGAATCGTTGCTAACCCCAGATAGAGTTTCTACTCACGTTTGTAATAGGCGAACTGCAGGTAGTGGTACATGGTGGCCACAAACTTCTCTACAACAAACCCCCCGACGACAGGCGTCAGGTCACCTTCACAGCTCACCTTTCTGTCCAGGACTTCGATGTAGTGATCTWAACAGGAGGAAACAATTTTAAAAAATGGTTTTAGTTTAAAACAGACTCTTGGAAAGAGTCAAGAGTGGTGACTCAAACACACCAGCTATGGAGGGGTAGAAGTCTTTAAAGTCGCTGACGCTCCTCGGACCCTCAGACGCAGCCAGGCACTCGTCGTAGACCTTCAGGTAGTCCCTCAGAGCCAGCTCCATGTCGGACACCGAGGTACGGAAGTTGTCGCCGTTGTACGCCCTAACTGCRCGCACGAACAAAGTCTGAAACAAAATACATGTTTAACTAGACATGGGTTTTTACGATGTAAAAACAAGTGTGCATTGCCACGTAGCATGTCATTGCAGCATGGCTTTGCCTGCAGCCTTGGACTTTCAGAATGAACTTTGACCAAGTTCAAATGTGTTTTCTATACCAGCTTGGGCCTGTCACATCAGCAGGAGTTTAGAATTAAGGTAATTATGTGACAAGATGAAGTTTGAAGAGATTTTTTCTTAAAGTTGCATTAGCCGGGTTTTGAACCCTGATCTCCCACATAAAAGTCCATGACATAGACCATCAGACAAGTGGAGTTGTGGCAGACGGTGGCAGGGGTTGGTTTGTATGTGTGCAGAAAGAGGCCACATTGCCAATACAATTATTGACACTAAACTGCATAATATTACAACAATAGAGCAGTATTAAGACAATATTACAGTAAAACATCAAAATACAATCATATTATATTGTAAACACTGAACTATTGAGATTAAATATTAAAAAACTATGGTGCAGTACCAAGTTGAGTACAGCTGGGGGCAGTATTGGACCATTACAAGGCCCTTCTGACTCCCATTTTATGAATTTGGAATAAAGTTTAAACATTAATATTTCAAAAACTACAAGTTGTACAGGCACCAAAAGGTATAGCAATCATTTAGCACAGGACCTTTACAGATAGAAATCACAATGGCAGCTGTAGGACAATGTATGCAGGAGCATTGGACTTTCATAATGAACTTTGACCAAGTTCAAATGTGTTTTCTATACCAGCTTGTGCCCGTCACGTCAGCAGGTGTTTGTAATTAAGGTAATTGTGTGACAATATGAAGTTTGCAGAGATTTTTGTTAAAGTAGCAGTAGCTGGATTTGAACCCTGATCTCCCGCATGAAAGCCCACAGTGCTCATCATGAGACTATAGGAGATGTGGCAGACGACAATCCCAGGGATTGGATTGTATTTATACAGAAAAAGTTCAGCTTGCCAACGCAATTATTGACACTTAAGTGCAATATATAACAACAATAGAGCAGTATTAAGACAATATTATAGTAAAACATCAAAATACAATCATATTAATATTGTAAACACTGAACAATTGAGATGAAATTTTATTAAAGTATGGAGCAGTACCAAGTTGAGTACAGCTGGGGGCAGTATTGGACCATTACAAGTCCCCATTGACTCTCATTATATGAATTTTGGAATAAAGTTTAAACATTAATATTTCAAAAACTACAAGTTGTACAGGCACCAGAAGGCATAGCAATGATTTGGCACTGGACCTTTACAGATATAAATTTCAATGGCAGCTGTAGGACAAAGTATGCAGGAGGAGCAGCGTGGCGACGTGGAAGAAGACGGAATAAGCTGAATAATAATAAAGAGAAACAGGAAAACAATAGTGTGCATTGCACACTGAATACATTCAAAGGATTTTATGAGAATTGAATGCTCTGTGGTGTGCAGAGCTGAAGTTTTTAGATCAAGAGGTGAAACGTCTTCATATCCAGCATCATTCTACCCGAACACTGAGGACGTCCTGTGAAGATGTAAAGTACAACTGATTACACGTGTGCTGTGTACCTCATAGGATTTGGTCTCCAGGTCTTTGAGGTGCTCMTCTGCTCCAGGCAGACTCTTATAATAAGCCATGTTCTTCTGCATCATCTCATCATCCGGGTGTTTCAGCAGGAAGGTGTGAGCTGCAGACACCGCCTTGGCCAGGTTGTTGGACTGAGACACACAACAAGAAACCAACGATGCTTTGCTCAAACATTTATATTTTATATTGTATATATTTATATATTTATATATATATTTATTTTACATTATATTGTAATATTTCTGGTGAAAAATGGAGCAAAGCAAAACATTAACTAAAAGAAAAAAACATAAAAAGGCTAATTAAAAGCTAAATGTAACAAAAGCCTTGCTATAAAAGGTGGTCTTAAAGCGAAAACAGCAAAAGGAAAAGATAAAGTGACAAAAGAGTAGCTAAAAGTTAAGGTAGCTAAGGCTGTTAAAGTGAAAATGGCAAAAAGCTGGCTAAAATGTAAAAACTCAAAAGGATAGCTAAAAGCTAAGGTGGCACAAAACTAGCTTCAAATTAAAATAGAATAAGGCTAACTAAAAGATAAGATATCAAAGGGGTAGCTAAAATAAAAAGTGTAGCTAAAAACTAGGGTAGCAAAAGGCTTTCTTAAAACTAAAACAGCAAAAGACTAGATAAAAGATAAAGCTGAATGTCAAGAGTGTTAAAAACTAAAAAAGATAGAAAAGGGTTATCTTAAAGCTAAAATAGCAAAAAGATAGCTAAAAGCTAAAGCAGCTAAATGCTAAGTAGCAAAAGGTTTGTTAAAAGTAATGAAAAGTTATGTATGAGCTAAAAGTAGCATAAAGAAGGCAAAACAATAGAAGTATGCCAAAATAAAATTTAAAGACAATTTTGAAGTAATTAAAAAGGTTTTTAATGAATCTGTATTGGGATAATATATACAAATGAAAAGATAAATGTATAAAAACTGATGAATAATTGATTACCTAATTTCCCTCTGGGATCAATAAAGTATTTTTGAATTTGAATTGAATTGAATATTACAAAAGAGCTGAGGTTACAGGATGAATTGAACATTTTATGTGTTTTTGGCTTTAACAGCACAAAGTTTGKAGTAATTATAGAGAAAAGATGTTTCTTTAAACGCAGAGCCAGGACCAGGTCCTCACCTTGAAGTAGGCGTACTGCAGGTACCTGTAGGGCTCCCTGCGGTCGAACTCGTCCATGGTGTCCCTGCTGGGGAGGCTCTGCCTGAAGGCGGGCAGCCCCTGCTTGCAGCGCTTCAGACACTGGGCCCTCTTCATCACGTTCCCGAAGGCCCGCAGCTCCGGGAACTCGGCGAACCTCTGCTCGTCCTCCAGCCGGACGGAGCTGCAGTTCAGGTTGCAGAAGGCCTCGCTGTCCCGCAGCAGCCGGTAGAGCCGCAGKGCCACCTCCATGTACTCCACCGTCTCCTGCCACTTCTCCCCGGTGTACTGGTCCAGCGCGTGCTTGTAGGCGGACTCCAGGGGCATCAGCTCGTGCCGGGGGAAACTCCTGAAGCTGTACTTCTCGTACTGCGACTCCACCGCCGACAGGAGGACCACCAGCAGGAAGGAGGAGGGCAGGAGGYGAGAAGAAGTGAGGGGAGCCATGTTTTCTGGAAGTTTGGCCAGGCTGGGATGTTTCTCAGCAGAGGGAGGAGGACCGCCTCAACTTCCACCACGTATCCGGACAAGAGCCGCTCCTCCCCCGGGGAGCGCTGCTCTGGACTAGGCCTGCGTGGAGCTGCTCCTCCTCTCTCTAAAAGCCCTACAAATAAATCACTGCTGCTCTGTGCGTGTACAAACTCTACAACTTTAAATTATTTTTCATCTCTTTGAACGACACCTGAGGGGATAAATTGTGACGCCTTCACGGACAGTTGGATAAATCTAATTGCACGAATTCAAGGAGCTTGATTCCGTACTAAAGGCTTAAACCTGCTAATTAAACCCCAGGAGCGTCCCTCCCCTCACACTGCCACGTAGCAACATTCCTGCCAGATCTGCACCCCCTCCTCCTCCTCCTCCTCCTCTTCCTCCTCCAAAAGGCCCAAATATTTCCAATTATTGAGAAATATCCTATAAAAACCACTTAACAAGTCCTGATGTGTTCTCATTAAGGGTGGCAGCAAGATGTTTTTGTTACAATGTGCCTGAAAGTTGGAGGATGTGTGAGAAAGAGTGGGGAGACCCCAACAATTTCCACGTTGACATGATCTTGGAAGCTGCACTGCGCATGCGCAATACGTGGTGCCCAACCTACCCCCCCCCCCCCCCCCATTCATCGCCCGTGCGTCAAGCAAGCATAAACCAACCCAGCAAAGGCACAGGACATAGTTTAGAGGATTTCAAATTAAGAGTTTGAAATGTGTTTGTGCGTCATGAACACACGAGGGAAAAGTGCTGATGACGTTTTGGTTTTTACGCAGAGGTGGACGTCATTATTTGAGCATCTGCAATTTTACCAAGTTTTTTTTTATTTTTCTTCCAAGAAAAGCAAAT